TGCTTTGGGGGGGCATTTGTGTGAGAAGGGGCCGGCGAAGAGTGAGAGAGAGAGAGAAGAGAGAGAGAGAGAGAGAAAGAGAGATGATAGAAAACAAAATAATACCATCACGCTAAAGAGAACGAGCACAACACGAAACCACTTTAAAAACAACCACTCAAAACAGCGAGGGCCGCCACAATCCCCCGGCCTCTCCTCCTCCTCCTCCTCCTCCTCCTCCTCCTCCTCCTCCTCCTCCTCCCTCCTCGCTCTTCCCTCCTCCCTCCGCCCTCCTCCTCCCTCCCTGCCTCCTCCTCCTCCTTCTCCTCCTCCTCCCTCCTCCACCTCCTCCTCCTCCTCCTCCTCCTCCTCCTCCGTGGGGCGCCCACCTGTTTCTGGCCGCTTTTTGGCCGAGGGCGGCCCAGGCTGGACGCCTGAAGCTGCCCCATGTCTTGTCTTCCCCGCGCCCTTGGAGCCTGGCTGCGCCGATGCTGCAAATGCTGACCCCTCCCTTATGTTGCATCCTTGGGGGACCTTCTCTGTCCCGTCGCGGCCCCATCCGCGTCGAATCCGTGTCGAATCCATGTCGGAATCGTCGGGTCCGTGTCGAATCCGTGCCGGCTGCGCGTCGGATCCACGCCAAATCCGCATCGGCCCGCGCAGGGCACAAGAAAAGACACCAAGCTTGGGGCACAAGCGAGGTACCCCGAAGATGCAACATGACCTCCCTTCTCCAGGCGGGCGCGAGAGGGACCGATGCAGCAATCGTGCTGCAATGCGGAACCTTGAATCAATACCAAAAAGGCTTTTCAGGCCACGGCGAGACTCGATCACGAATGGGTAATTTTTGCCAGCGGACCGAACAAAAAAGCCCGCCTGAACCTAAAGTTGCCCTGATTTCAGAGTCTTGGCTGCAGGGGGGACTGGCTCAGAGGGAGGACGCATCGACCTGGCATCGGCGAGATATCGACGATAGGTAATGTTGAAACCGGAGCCAGCGGGTGCTATCAGCCCCGCCTGACGGGGAGCTGTCCGGGGAACCCAAAGAGCTGAACAGGGAGCTGCGACTTCAGACCGGCCCAGACCCCTAGAGTACAATCAACTCCAAGGAACCCGGTGCCAAGCCATGACATGCAGCGCGGTGTTGTGTTCTATGCCGCTGTGCGATGCCATGCTTGGCATTGCAATGCTTCCTCATGCACTTCTTCACTACGCAATGCCACGCCATGCTATGTGCGAATCGAGAAGATATCTGCGCCATTGTAAGGGATGGGACCGAGGGGCATGACTTCAGATGTTGCGCGAGCGCACCTAGCTTGCCACCAGCCCCTCCCCTTCGCCCCTACCCCTGAACTCCCTCTTCTCTCCATGTGTCGACCTCCTTTCCCCGCCACTTACACAATATGAATACTACTCTCCTCTCTCCCCGGACGACGTCCAGAAGATATCCGGCCTCCCATCAGCGTACTGCTTTTTTAAAGCACTAGATTCTCGGGCTCTCGGTTTTCGCTTGGGTTCGCTTTTCAAAATGCGGTTCCCGCTGAAGCGCTGGTCTCATTTTCGGCCTTCCCGCTCGTTCCGAATCGTGCTCCCGCTGAAGCGGCGGCCCCCCATTTCCGCGCTTCCTCTCGTTCCGAATCGTGCTCCCGCTGCAGCGCTGGCTTCACTTCCTGGTTGTCATATCTATGTTTGGCAATCCGATTCTGTTCGGTCCTTCAACATGTTGCTCCCGCTGCAGCGCTGGCCCCATTTCTGCGCCTCTGGTTGTTCCAAAGCGTGCTCCCGCTGCAGCGCGGGCGTTTTCGATCCTTCCAAATTGGACCCACATCTAGAAAATGATCACCAGAAACAACATCGCCAGTGATTGCACATTCTGTGTCGATTCGTTGGCTTCTTGGGTCGCAGAAGGCCTCCCAACTTCGGGGCGGCGGCGTTCGGAGGAAGTATCAAGCGGGAGCCCCGTTTCTGCTTTCAAAGGCGATGTTGCAAGCAGAGCCAGCGGGTGCCCTCCATCATCCCCGCCTTGTGGGGAGCTTTTCGCGGAGCCCAAGGAGCTAAACATGGAGCCGCGACTCCAGACCGGCCCACACTCTTCGAAAAGTATTCACTTACCCTCCAAGGAACCCGGAGCCCTGCTCTGACATGCTGTGCGGTCTTCTGTTCTGCGCCGCTGTGCGATGCCATGTTTTGCATTGCAATGCTTTGTAATGCTATGCATAACTACGCAATGCCACGCCATGCTATGACATTCTGCGCTCTGCCGTGCTCTTCTACGCCATACCATGACATGCGTTACAATGCGTCCCGCACCCACTCGCGAACACCGCCCTGCTCGACATCCGATTGTGCGAATAGAGAGGAGATCTACGCCATGGTAAAGGATGGGAGGGAGGGGTAGGACGTCAGCTATGACGCCAGCGAGCCTAGCTTGCCCGCGCCCCGTGCTCGCCCTCCTCCGAGGCTCACTCCCTGACGGTGCCGGCGCGAAGAGTGACTTGACCACCTGGGCCTCTGGAGGTCTCGACCCCTTCTCGGGGCCTCCCGCCCCCTCCTCCGCTCCTCCACCTCCTCCTCCTCCTCAACAGCTTCTCCGTGTCGCGCCCCGAGGCCGGTCGAAAGGGCGGGCCGGACCTTCCGCATGATTCCTCGCAACTTGCGACCCTGAAGCTGACCCTGAAGCTTTCAAAGTTGGCGACAGCTTCACAGATGGATGGCGGGTCGTTTTCAACATGTGGCTCTCGCCTTAGCGCCGCGCGCATTCGTTCTAAACATTTGCAATGAGTTTCACAGATTGAGGGCGGGTCGTTTTCAAAATGTGGCTCTCGTCTTAGCGCCGCGCACATTCGTTTCAAACATCTGCGAGAACTTCACGGATTGAGGGCGTTTCCTGATCACAATGTGGCTCTCCCCTTAGCGCCGGGAGCATATCTTCAAACAGTTGCAAGAGTTTCACATATTCTCACGGTCAACGTACCACACATTGTGCTGTGCAAAGAGTCAAGATTACGAGGGTTCAACATTTACTTTTCATTCGCGGTGTTGAAGTCCCCGGAATGGCGTTCTGGCGCGATTCTGGATCAAGACGCAACAATCAGGTTGATCCGTGGCGTTACAATCTCGAGAATCATGTTTCGGCATGCTTCAGGGTTTTCAAACTGATGTTTTCCAACGAGGCAATTCCACCAGTGAAAATGAATCCTTGAAGGGACCCATGGAGTGGCCGCTTGAAGGGAAGGTTGATTCCAACATCTTTGATGACTCTGGGGTTTACACTGGTCCTCCTCCGTCTCCTCCTCCTCCCTCTCCTCCTCCGCGTTCCTCCCCGTTCCTCGTTCCTCCTCCTCTTCCTCCTCCTCCTCCTCCTCCTCCTCCTCCTCCTCCTCATCATCATCATCATCATCATCATCGTCCTCTTTCTCCTACTCTTCCTCATCCTCCTCATCCTCTCCTCCTCGTCTCCTCCTCCTCCTATTTCCTCCTCCTCCTCCTCCTCCTCCTCATCCTCCTCGTTCCTCCACCTCCTCCTCGTTCCTCCTCCTCCTCCCCCTCTGACACACGACGTCGCGCGACTTTCTCACGACGTGGGCCCCCGGAGGTCTGGAGCCCGAGCCCCCCGGGCCCGAGCTCGAGCCCCCGGGGCCCGAGCTCGAGCTCTTCCTGGGCACCGGCTCGTCCCCCAGCGGGAGGACGCATCCAGGACGAGGATCACGGCGGGTGAGGCTGCATCGAGAATCTCCGAGAGCCCGCGGCCCTGGAGGATGTTTTTCGGGCGCCGCGGCCTTCTCCGAGCGCTTCCGGAACGCCCTGGCACGAATTTTAGTCGGCCCAAGTCTGCAAGGACCTTGGACGCCCATTTTGAAGCTTGTCGAGCGGGGCGCGGCCGACGAAGGTGGCAAAGGATGGACCGAGGAGGCAAGGACGCAAGGGTCCCCTTCGGAAGACTGCCCATCCTTGCTATGCGGGCTGACTGCCGTCCTCGCCCTGTAGCCCCGCCCGGCCCGGGCCCGAGCTCGAGCCCCAGCTCGAGCCCCAGCCCGGGCCCAGGGGCCGGCTCCGCGAGCCCGGCCCTGCCCGCCCCAGGGGAAGGGGGCGCGGCAGGGCGGGGTGCCGACGGCGGCGGCGCCTGGATGTCGCAGCAGTCGTCCTCGCGCTCGGCGGGGCGCGACGCCCCCCTCGCGGGGTGCCCTCCCCTGCCGCCCTGAGGTCGGGCATGTCCTCTCTACAGGCGGATGTCGGAAGAAAAGTCTTCAATAGTCAAACAGATTCAAGCATTCGGAAAAATAATTGCAATAATCTACCCAGAACTATGTTCTTACTATTCTGGAGACTGTTCCTCCTGTAGAGGGACGTGCCCGCCTCAGTCCGAAGGCAACGCCAGGACAGGGGCGAACTCGATGGCCCCCGAGGCGGCCAAGATCGCCCCAAGCGAGCCCCACGTGGCCGAAAAGTAAGGCGGGGGCGGCCCAAAGTGCACCCCAGACGGCCCAAGATGGCCGAGAGGACGGCTCATGGACAGGCCAAGAGGCCCCAAAGAGGCCGCCAAGAGGTCCTCCAGGCCGGTCCAAGAAAGGCAGCACATCATTGATGTTGCGTATGTCTTTGAACGATGCTGATATCCCCCCACGCGTCGTGAACAGAAATCACCCGCGGGAGGTTCTTCGCCATGCTCTGCCTCTGGGGGCCCTGGCCGGCCTCGGGGCCGTCGAAGAACGGCTCGGGATGAAAAACCGGTCCCCGGGAATGGGTCTAGATCTCTGGGGGTCGGCGTTGTGAACAAAAATCGGGGGTCTGGGCAGGGAGGCTGGGATGGAGGGAGGCTGGGATAGAAGTGCCGATGAGGGAAGGTAAGGTAGAGGATGGGATGGGTGACGAAGGGGGGCGGAGTGAATCAGAAGAGAGGGAGAGAGAGAAAAAGAGAGAGAGAGAGGGGGAGAGAGGGAAAGAGCGCGAGAGAGAGAGTGAGAGGACGGGAGCCTGCACCTACACTCACTTCCCCCTGGGCCGCGCGGAGGCGCCCCAGCTCCTGGTAGGCGTAGAACATCGCGACGCCGTCCCAGAACGCGTGCAGCTCCGCGTACACCAGGGCCACGCCCCAGGTGTCGCAGAGCAGCAGGTAGCCTCCGGCCCCCGAGCGCGGCGCGCGCTCGGATCGTGCACGTGCTGCTTCTTGCTCTTCGAGGCAAGGGGGGGGGCTGGCACACAAGCCCCTGCCTCCCCTATGATGAGCTCGTGCCGTGACGCGTGGATCGTTCAAGCTTGAACAGTCGGCGCTTTCCGACGGCACACTTCGTTCGCTGTCGGTCCGATGCGGCATCGGGCTGACATCGAACGCGAGAACAGCGTCAACGCGACAACCACGGTTCGGGACGGGCGGTAGTGTCAGAGTTGAAGTCGCAGATCGCTCAACGCGAGTCGGCACGCTTCAGTGGGGAATGTTGGAGACAAGATCGATGTGGTTTGTCAAACGATTTGATTGTAGATGCCGTCCTCAAGGTAGTGAGGATGTGAGATTCCACTAAGATGGGCGCGGGGGTTGCTAAGGGGATAAGGGTTTTTCTCAGTGGACGCCAAGGGGGGTTTATCTGGCCTAACCTATCTTATGAGTGAGCTTCACATGCCCCAAGCGACTTACGGTGATTAAGCAACTCTGCTAAGTGGGCAGAACCCATCAAGCTTGGAGCCCTAAACCCCCTAAGCCTCTTGGGGCAGTAGCAACCAACTACTGAGCTAGGTTAGGCCAGACATATCCCACCTTGGCATCCACTGATAACCCCCTATCCCCTTAGCAACCCCCGCGCCCATCCCAGTAGGGTCATTCTTGCGTACAGCCGAAGGCGGCGCGAAAGGGGGTCGGCTTTCTCAGAAGGCGCGGGGGGGGGGCTTTCGAGAAGGCAGACGGCTGGCCTTCCCGGCCCACTGAGCGCACACACGTGGCGTCGGAGGTCTGGGCCGAGGCGCGGGTGTGCAGTGTTGAGCGCCACCGGTGGCGTGCTGGGATGGGCGCGGGGGTTTGAGGAGGGTTTTCAGTGGATACCAAGGTGGGTTATATCTGGCCTGACCTAGCTCATTAGTGGCCTGCTACTGCCCCAAGATGCTGAATGAGGGGGTTTAGGGATCCAGGCTGAGTGGGCTCTGCCCACTTAGCAGAGTTGCTTAATCCCCGTAAGCCACTTGGGGCGTGTGAAGCCCACTTATAACATAGTTAGCCCTGGTATAACCCCTTTGGCGTCCACTGAGAACCCCCTATACTCTTAGCAACCCCCGCGCCCATCCCAGTAGGCAAGATTGACCTTTGGTGCACGGCTGTTGGGCAGCCGCGGGGGAGGGGCGAAACCCAAGCGCACCAGGCGCACCTATCGCATCGCAGTCTGCGATCGGGGGACACCAGTGGGCCCGCACCAAGAGTCTCTCCGGCGAAAGGTCACTCTCACGTGTAGTCGACCCCCCCCGTTTGGGCGCCGCCATCTCAAACAGCTGGCGTCTCGATATTGGAAACGGGCCCCCCGACCTCTCGACCACTTCCCCGAGACCGGCTTTATCCATCCCGAGCAGTGGTTGTGACGGTCCCGAGGCCCGGCAGAGTCCCCGAAAGACGGACAACGAGGAAACAACCACCTCCGTCTCGACTCTCGAGACGCTGGATGTCTGGGACCCCCCTCTCCTTCCTCTCGGCGGCGAGCGAGCGGGGGAAGCGAGAAGGAGAAGGCCTTCTCAGAAAACGGCCGCAGGGCTTCTCAGGATCCCTCGCGCCGTTTGGGAAGTTTTTGTCCGTGCCTTCGCGGGGAGCTTAGAACACTTCTCAGAAGGTCCGAGGACTCCCGAGCCAAAAGGCCCGCCCCTGTCTGGTGGGCTTGTTTTCCACCGCCACCACAAGAAGTAGGAGGGGGAGGAGATCCTCCTCCTCCTCCTCCTCCTCCTCCTCCTCCTCCTCCTCCTCCTCTCCTCCCTCATTCCTCCACCTCCCTCCCCTCTCCAACGTATGTGGTGGTGGAAACCGGGCCCGCCCCTGTTCACTTCCCCCTGGGGCTCGCCGCCGACCCCCGCCCTGCGTGCCCACCCGGCCGCGCCGCCCCCGGGGCCGGGCCTGCCAGGAGCCTCATCGCGGTCCAGGAGGCGCCCTCCAGCGGGTAGGCGCGCCTCGCCACTCCCCCCCCCGCCGGGGCCTCCCTCGCGCGCTGCGCCACCCACGCCCCTCCACTCTTGTGTTGCTCCCATCGTACTCAAGGGCCACATCCCAGCAGCAATTTCGAGCACCCAGAAAAGTATCGAAACAGTGTCGAGCGAGTGTCGCCTCCCAGGACCCGACACGTGAAAACCCAAATAAGTACTTTCCTGGTGCTCGAAATTCTTCCTGGTGATCAATGCTAAAACAAATTGGAAGATCATGACCCTCTTGCAGCAGAACAACTAGCGCATGAGCAGAACAACTTATGGAACTCCACGCGGATTTCTGGGATCAGCGCTGGGCCCCTCTAGCGACGCCTTCGGCGCCGCCCCTGGTGCGCTCCGCGCGCCAGGGAGGGGGTTAAGCGCCGATCCAAAGTATCCGCGCGGAGCTCCAACAGTTTGCGTGTGCCGTTTGTCTGAGTTCCTCATGAATATGCATCTGCCGTTGTTTGTTATCTGTTTTTAAACTCGGCGTGTCGTAAACCATTTGTTTAGCCTTGCTTTGTCCCAACAAGAAGAAAACAAAGCACGCAAAATCAATATTCTCTGCTTTTGCCCTTTCACCCGCGATTTTTTTGCATGTTCAGATCAGCTGGTTGCATCGCTCACATTGCCGTCTACGGCGTCCGCAGCTCCTCCTCTGTGGCGTGCAGGCCTTCTCCTGGCGCGCAGTCTGGCGGGCCCGATGGCCGGTTGCCCCTCCTGGGGCCGTCGGCCCTCCGGGCCTGTTTCGGGCAGGTGTTACACCGGTGTCGCAAAATGTGTTTGGACTCTTTTAGCTCCGGGGGAAGAACGCCGGCAGGAGCGAGCGGGAGCGAAGGCAGCAGGGGAGACAAGGACCAGCCTTCGACCAAAGAGCAAAACAACGATGATGAGCAACGATGGTCTTCAAAACTTTGGAACAACTGGAGCAACCGATCAAAACCGCTAGAACACTGTTGCGTCAATTTTCGCGCCGTGCAACCCAGTTTAAACAATTCCTGGGGCGTTTTTAAGAAGAACCTAACTGCTTGTTGTTCTCCGAGCCTGATCACCTCTGCCTCCCCCTACCTCCTCTCGCTGCAAAACAAAAAAAAACGCAAGGTTTGGGGGCACTTTTGGCCTCCAAAGGCCCTCGCCAGGCCCTGGCACCGTCGAAACACGCCTCGGGAAGAGGTGCCTCCTGGGGATCGGGCTCCTCGATTCGGGCCCCTTCGGCACCGCATGGGACCCAGGGGGCCGGAGCTGGGATGGGCGCGGGGCTTGCTGAGGGGATAAGGGGGTTCTCAGTGGACGCCGAAGAAGTTATACCTGGCCTAACTTATCTTATAGGTGGGTTTCACATGCCCAAAGTTGCTTAGAGGAATTAAAGAACTCCGCTAAGTGGGCGGGGCTCCCTTAGCCTGGATCCCTAACCCCCCTAAGCCTCATGGGGCAGTAGCAACCCACTAATGAGCTAGGTTAGGCCAAATACAACCCACCTTGGCATCCACTGATAACCCCCCTATCCCCTTACCAACCCCCGCGCCCATCCCAGCAGAAACTCTCCCAGAAACTCCGCTGAAAGAGACCGGAATTCTGCTGACGCAGCCCAGGAATTCCCAACAAAGAAATCAAGATGCATTTGATGTTTCTATGATCTTGATGTTTGCTGCTCTGTGGCCGCCTGCGGGATCCCGGGCTGCAGCAGACAGTCCCGAGACAGTACCCGAAGGTTTCAGAAGGAATTATTGTTTCGGGTGCAGGTTCTCTTATTCGGTGATTCGACATTGGGCGGACGGGAGGGGAGGGGTCTGGCTCTGGATCTCTGCTTAATGACACTGTTTGCACAGTGCGTCCTATGAGGGAGACTCCACCTGCTTGAAGCAGGCGGTCGATGGAACACAGGATGCCCATTGCGGAGTGCCCAAAGTAGCCACAATCTACTCCATGGGGTGGGAGGAGAGGGGAGTGTGCGAGGGCCGGCGTCGATGGGCAAAACAATGAATAAGGAAACGATCACCAGGGAGTGTGTTGGCATGCATGTTTCTGAGGTCCTTGGCAGAGTTCATCTGGGGGTCTCCTGGCACAATCTCCGCGAGGCCTTACGTATGCGCAGTTAAAGGAGCCTCGCCCCTCTTGGAGGTCTCTTGGGAGCGACTTCCTGGATGGGCGCGGGGGTTGCTGAGGGGATAGGGGGGTCATCAGTGGACGCCGAAAGGGTTATACCTGGCCCAACCTAGCTTATAAATGGGTTGCACATGCCACGAATGTCGTATTGGATCAGGAGCAACTCCGCTGAGTCGGCGGGGCCCATTAGACTGGATCGCTATCCTCCCCCCAGTCCAATTGGGGCACCTAACGAACTAGGCTAGGCCAGACATAATCCACCTTGCGGCGTCCACTGACAACCCGAGAGCCTGGAATCGAATCGATAAATCGGATCGGCGATCGGAATGAATCGGATCGGCAGAAATCGGCAGCCAAGTCGGAAGAAATCGAATCGGCAGAAATCGGCAGGCTCATCGGCCTCCATTGAGCCCAAATCGGAATCCGAAATCAACTCGAATCGGAATCGGAAGTCATCGAAATCGAATCGAATCGAATCGGGGGAATCGAAATGAGTCCTGCATATCCCCTTAGCTCCTTCCGCGCCTATCCCCGTTGGAGTGCGGGCACCCCGCAGCACGCCCCAGCCACGTGCCCCGCCTGTAGAGCAGAGGGGCTCGCCCGCCCTCGAAGGGAAGTCTCCCAAATCGGCGCACCCCTCTCTGATGCGAGGGCTGTCCCCCCCTTTGCCGCGCAACGGGCGTGCAACGCAGAGAGAGAGAGAGAGAGAGAGAGAGCGAGAGAGAGAGAGAGAGAAAGAGAGAGCGACAGAGAGAGAGAGAGAGAGAAGAAAAAAGAAAAGAGAGAGAGAGAGAGAGACCGCACCCCCGCGGGCGGCGAGGAAGCCCAGCCCTGCCAGTCGGCCCGTATCAGAAGGATGCGCGACACAGTCGGGGCGCTGACCTCAGGAACCCCGAATAAGAAACGAGGCCAATGTTTTTGCCATAGGTGAAACTTCGATTTCCCATCGAAGACCAAGAAACACCGAAGGCAAACTGTGAAACAATTAAGGAACACGGCGCCCCTCCCCAACGCAGAGGGTTCGTTTTTCCGCGCCCTGGCTGTAGGGATGCAAAGCCTTGGACGCCCATGTCGAGGCTTCTCGCGCGGGGCGCGGCAAACGAAAGTGGCCAAGGATTGACCCGAGGAAGCAGGGATGCAAGGGTACCCTGGGAAGGTTGCCAATCTCCTTGCTATGCAGGCTGACTGTACCGCGCCCTGGACGTTGAAATGCGCAAGGACCGCACCCCGTGCGCGCACCCTCTGGTGCCGCGAACATGCCGCCCCTGCCACGCCCTGGGAGGCGAAACGCATGGAGCCCGCACCCGGTGCGTGCCCCTTCCGGCGGCAAGGGAGCGCCACCCCTGCCGCGCAAGCAAATCGTGAAACGCATACTTGCGGAGACCGCGCCCCGTGCTCGCCCCCTCCCAAGACCCCCGACGTCGTGATTTTTGTCAGAACGTCGACCCCAAGAGGTCTGGATCCCTTCCCCAAGACAAATGTTTCATCCTGAGTGGTCTTTTGAGAGTCCCGAGACCCGGCGAAAGCCCCTGCTGGGATGGGCGCGGGGGTTGCTAAGGGAATAGGGGGGGTTATCAGTGGATGCCAAGGTGGGTTATATCTGGCCTAACCTAGCTCATTAGTGGGTTGCTACTGCCCCAAGAGGCTTAGGGGGGGTTTAGGGATCCAGGCTACATGGGCCCCGCCCACTTAGCAGAGTGTTTTAATCCCTCTAAGCCACTTAGGGCATGTGAAACCTACTCATAAGAGAGGTTGGGCCAGGTATAACCCCTTTGGCGTCCACTGAGAACCCCCTTATCCCCTCAGCAAGCCCCGCGCCCATCCCAATGGAGGCCGAAAATAGCGAAAAAACTCCCGTCGTGATTTTTGTCACAACGCGAGGTGGTCTGGGCGTGGCGGCGAGGAACTGCCACCCGTGTCGCGCATGGGATGGCGAAGCGCGTAGAAACAACAGCCCATCGCGCGCGTTCTGCACGACTGCGCCTGCCGCGCCTGGCGCGCGGCCGTGCAGCAGGGCAGGAAACAGGAACGACCCTTGCCGAATGGGCCCGGTTTTCGCCGCATGGGCTCTTCCATCTCAAAGAAGAGGCCTCCTAGATGGGGACGGAGTAGATGGGGATGGAGGATCGCACCGCATCGCCGGTGCATCGTCGATGCATCGGCGACGTCGACGCGAAGCCAATCGGGCCTCACATCGAGCCGCATCGGCAGTGCATCGGCGATGCGACGCGATCCTCCGACCCCATCTACTCCGACCCCATCCAGGAGGCCTGGACAGAGGCAACCGTCCATTAAGAGTGCTTCCGCTGAGGGTCAACTGTTTCGTTTTCGAAAGGATGGTCTGGTGTGCCGCCCGGGCCGGCGCTCGTGGTCGCCCCGTTGCCGCCCAGCCGCCGCTGGTCGCCGCCCGTCGCCGCCTCGTCGCCGCTCGTCGCCGCCGCAACTGGGCTCGTGTGCCGCCCCAGCCGGCTTGTGGCCGCCCCGTCGCCGCCCCGTCGCCGCTCGTCGCCGCCTCGTCGCCGCCACCTCGTCGCCGCACCACATACGTTGAACTACGTAACTCACAAGAGTGCACCACACAGAGATTCCTTCTCTAACGGATGATGAGGATCTACCCTCCCCCCGACATGAAGGGCTCCCCTTTTCCAGATTGCAATGTGCAAAAGATTCAGCCCCATCGTCCATCCGAACTACGAGGTCGTACCATCCCGGGCATGCCAAGATCGTCCCCCTCATCCTCTACAGAAAATCGTCCTCATCCGTGCATTCGTTTTAACTATACACAACCATACGAGGCCAAGGCGTGCGGGAATCTTTCAACAACCGTATGTCCCGTAAGGATTTCAACATCGAGCGTCCCGAAAAATATGGACAGAACGCAT